ATAGCCTCATATTAATTAAATTTAATTACTAGGAGTTTAATGTTTGTTTAGAAGTTGATGCTGAAGCTATATGCCATCGTATGGTTCTAGTATGTGGCACTTCCACTTGCCACATGGCTGTGTCTCAAACAAAGTTGTTCATACCTGGGGTATGGGGTCCTTACTGGTCAGGTATGATTCCATCTTGTAAGGAAAGTTAGTGCTACTTCATTTGTTTATTATGATTATTATTAGAAGCAGGGGCTAAAAAGAGCTCTTTGTATAGGTTGGATTTTCTGGAGTTTGGTGCTTACCTTCTATCATTAAGAGGGATTATTAAATAAAGTAGATTTATTGTTATTATTGTTGTTGCTGTTGTTATTAAAGGTGATTTTTCCACATTCTTTTTCTCATTTATCTTTTAATCATGGCTTTCTAATTCTTGACACAATTAATGGTAATATTCACTAACAACTTAGTCCACATTGATCTTCACCCTCTCATCTCTATTTTGGAACTGTAGCCTTGGAAGGCTTCTAAATAAAAAATACATTGTAAATGATGTATATCAACTTTTTTCCTATCTTTTAACTTGCCTAGGATAATTGGATTTGGTTATAGCTTTTCCATAATTTCTAATTTGTATCAAAGTTTACTGCTAACCTCCTTTTCTTTTGATACCTTTTTTCTTAGTATTACAATTTCAGTTGTGACAATCCTTTATAAGTTAATGAGTTTAAAATAGAAAATAGGCCTTTTATATCTTTGAGATTTTATGCCATTTGCCTGTTCTCTGCTAAGTTCCACTTTTAACCTCTTCCTGATTTTTTAGCAATGGTCCCTGAGTACTGGCTCACAGAGGGTGGTCAAAGTGCCACTGGCGCATTACTGGATCATGTGATTGAAAATCATTTGGCATCTCCGCATCTCGCTAACCTTGCTGCATCTCAAAGTAAATATTTCGAAGTATATTTAACTTTCATGATCAACATCTATTCCATTCAATGTCATTTTCTTTAATTATACTTCCTTTTGGACAACCATGTTCTACATAATGTTTGATATGCTAGCCTTGTGTCATTTATTGATCCATTCACAGGAATTTCAGTGTTTGAATTGATGAATAACATGCTAGAATCTATGAAAAATGATCTGAGATCCCCATATATTGCTGCATTGACCGATGATATACATGTTCTCCCGGATTTCCATGGCAACAGGTAATACAAAAGCTTGAATGATCTCAAAAAATGCCTTTATCATGTATCTGAAATCTGTGCTAACTTCATAGTTCAGGTCTCCCATTGCAGACCCTAAGTCAAAAGGTATAGTTTCTGGGCTGACTCTCGACACTAGTGAAAAACAGCTGGCTCTTCTCTACCTTGCCACAGTACAGGGTATTGCATATGGTACCCGTCATATTGTAGAGCACTGCAATGCCAATGGCCATAAAGTAAGGATACTTTATTTCTATCTTTTTGTTGGTAGATTCGGTAGAATCACTGTGTAAATTATCATAATATTTTTTTATAGGTGCAAAACTGCAAATTTGATGTAAAATATGATGCAATTATCACTTTGAGTACATCAGTTATTGTTTTTCAAATTATTATCTTGTTTTTCTTAATGAATTTATAATATGAGATTGTTGGGAATAATGCATTCTAACTTGGACCTTATTTCAGTGTCTTTTGTATGTAGAGCATACTTCCTTTATCTCATTTTATCTGTCATATTTACTATTCATTCATTTGTCAAAACAACTCTTTTTTCTTCATTTATTTTCTTTTAACAATTTTTTTTAATTTTCAAATTTGTCCTTTTGTGTTTTATAAAACTTTTAATGTAGTTTTAAATATATGAATTAAATATTAGAAAAAATAAAATTATAAATAGCTTTGAGTTAAGTTTTGTTATCTGAACAAGACATAAAATGGGATAGATAGAAGTAATATCTTAACTTGGAAGCTATTGGAAAATGGAATTGAAACTTTAGTACGTATGTGTGGGTGACATTAACCAGCCTTACATTGCTGGCAACATGGTTCACTTCCATGTAATGATCAATTGTGTTGAGAGAACTTTGAGATGGTCAGAATTTCGCTTTTTGGATGTTGAGAGCATCAAATCAATACTGCAACGCAATTGGAAGTAGGGGTCTGATCTTTTGGTGCTTCAAAGTGCTCTCTTCTTCTTCCTCACCTTTTTGTTGAGAAAAGCATTAAAAAAAATAGTCCACTTCAGTTGTACCCAAATAAAAAAAAAATGAAAGAAACAAATACAATTTGGTAAAGAGTTGCACAAATAGTAGTGACCTTCTAAGTAAAGCCTAACCACACATCTTCTATTTCCTCTTCTTCCTCATGAGTCATGATCTCATTATTCTTGATAGGAAGTATTTTCTATGGCTAGTAGTGTATCAATATGTTGCCGAAGGTGTCTCTATTAAATCATTAGTTTACCACATGAAAGACCTCTGATCTTGTTTTGGTTTAAGAGGATTTTTCTGGGTGGCTGTGGGGAGTTTTGCAATAGGCCATGTAGGCGTGTATGAATATAACATTGTTTGGTGCTAATGCCCACTTTCACTTCAATTGTTTGCATATTTATGGATTATGATTTTTTTTACCCAACTAACACTTCAATTAAATTTTTAACCAGTTAGTCATTGATCTTTTTCCACTTCTATTCCCAGATTGACATGCTACTTGCTTGCGGTGGTCTTGCTAAGAATCCCTTGTTCATTCAAGAGCATTCAGATATCATTGGTCTCTTTCTCTTACTCTGTCTTTGTCTCTCTTTTTTGTTACTTTGTAAGCCAAATGAATTAACTGGTATAGAAACTATGAATTTTGAAGGGTGGTTATTCTACTGCATGCTGTATTGAAAGTTATGCTTGACATTTAGATGCTTGTGTATATCTTTAGATGGTTCGTCATTTCAGTACATCGATATTCCATATATAGAACTGAAACATTATGTCCTAGTTCCTACCTGCATTTAATTCTTGACTTAGTATGCTATGCACTTCCGGCATTTTTCTTATTGGCCATGCATGGAAGTGGTCTAGAAACCTCCTAGGAATGTATTGTAGTTAGTTTTAAATGATTTTGGATATGGTTGCATCACTTGCATATAATTTTCATTCAAGTTGAACCATGTAAGGGTAAGGGGGTGGCATAAAATTTCAATTAAAAAATTGTCAGATTTTGGTAGAACAACTTCCACTTGCTGATTTGAATAGGTTACCCTATAATCCTTCCACGTGAGAATGAGTCGGTGCTGTTGGGAGCTGCTATTCTTGGTGCTGTTGCATCAAAGAAATATGCTACTGTTCGAGAGGCCATGAAGGCTTTGAATGCAGCTGGTGAGGTATGTACAGCCATAGAGTAACTTGTTGTTCAGCTAGCTATGGCTATAAAATCTTCCACACCTGCTCTTCTGATTTATTTTTCATTTAATTTTGCCAACTTTCATTTATATATTTGTCTTCAAGGCAACCCCAAAAAATTGCAATCAAAACTTGGATAATTTTTTTTTTCCCCTTCAGATAATCTCTAACATTGTAGTCTTATTTTTTAATAATAAAATTCAGTACGGTGTCCTTATTCCACGGTGGTGATTGTTTTTTGTGGGTTAAAAAAAGTTGGTATGATTTTGGCTTTTGATATGATTGGTAAAGCAAGCTATGAACTGGAATGATTTTTGTTGATGACTACTACCACTTTTATTATGGTGCATTTCTGAGGAGTGGATGATTTTAAGGATAAACAAGATATGATCCCTGCTATTTTAAGTATTTTATGAAATAATAATAAAGTTATTATTATTATTATTATTATTATTATTATTATTATTATTATTATTATGTAATCTGAGCCTAGTTAGGATCTGCTTTTGCTGCCCTTTTGTGCTTTCTATATCCCTTGTCTACTTCATTTTCGTGGATGGTTTTCTATTTTTGTGGTAGCAGGTTTTTTACCCATCAAAAGACCCCAAAGTGAAGAAATACCATGACGCCAAATATCGCATCTTCCGGCAACTTTATGAGCAGCGGCTTGGCCATCGTTCAATTATGAGGGAGGCTTTGGCATGAACTTAAGATGCTTGTTATGCCATTGTAGAAAAATGTGTTCATGGCATTGGAAATGAACAAGTGATGTGTCCATTATAGCTGCCAGAGAACATGTGCATTTATCATTTTTTTTTTTTAATGCTAGTGGTGTACATAATGCAATCAATCAGTCTGGCATACTATATAGATACCAATCAATTTTTGGTTTACTTGTTTCAGTTTACAACTAAAGTCTTTGATGAATGTTAACTTCACAACCTACTAAAATGTTAGAACTGCACATTTACAGTATATTTCAGTTTCAGCTGCGGTACTAAGAGTTATTGTTTTATTTTTTGACATAAAAGCTTTTAATAGTCGTTAATTATTACTTTTAGTTTCAATTTGGTCCTCGACCAGTCATTCCAGGCAAATTGAACAAGATAATGAAGCCATACACAAGAAAATCAAACAAAGGTATCCATCTTTTCAGTGGGGACTTGCCTTGATTGCTAATTTATTTGAGGGAAATTTTGATCTCAATATATTGGTTAGTTAAATGTCTCTTACAATATTTAAGAGTTGGATATTTATAGCTAATAATAAAGTACAAACCATCGAAGTGTAAAGGTACAAGAAAATAAAGATGGCAATTTATATTGTTGACTAGGATCACATGGCATTGTGGACCTTAGATCAAACACGATGATATTTTAAGTTTTAACCAATTTTGTAGTTTTTCGTTTCTCATGTTTCAACACATTTTAATTTATTCTAAGAACATAATCAATGCTCTTAGGGGGTGTTTTGTTCAAGTAATCTTAGATTGCCTAGATAATCTGAATTTGATAATGTTATATTACCTTGTTTGGTTTAAATAATGAGATTACCTAGTAATGTTAAATTATCATAAAGCTGATGTGACTGTAATGTGATTACCCTCATTTTCTTAGGTAATCTTATACATATTATATTACCTTGAATTATTTCAACTTTGCTCTTGTTAACTAATTAACTAATTCTTATATAATAATAATAATAATAATAATAATAATAATAATATTATTATTATTATTATTATTATTATTATTATTATTATTATTATTATTAATATTAATAATAATAAGACACAAAAACTCACAACACAATACACATACACATGTTATATACTCCCTCCGTCTAATTTTATCTGTTTTACTTACTATTTATTAGTCAAACCAACTCTTTCTTCTTTATTTATTTTCTTTAGTATTTTTTTTACTTATTTTTGAATTTTATTTTTTGTATTTAATAGTAATTTTAGTGTAATTTCTAAATATATGAATTTTATATATTAATACAAAACTTAATATTATGAAAATTTAGATTAAAAATAATTTCAGTCAAGTCTCGGTTACACATAAAATGGGACGGAGTGAGTATTTGCTTATTCTCAAATTTGATTTATGTAGATAATACATGTCCTATAAGCACATAATAATTTCATAATACAAGACAAATTCGTAAAATAAGACACAATATGTTGTGAGTTACACAACTACTAATCTATTTCAAATACAGAATTCATACTCTTAAGAGACACAGAAACGCAAAACACAAAATACACATGTTTTATATTTATTTTAGTTCAGGTATATAATCTATTCTTAAGGTCCAGAATTCCATAACATAAGACACAAAAATGCATTACACAAGACACAAAAACACAGCACAAAGACACAAAAAACGCATGTTATATTTACTTTATTTTATGTACAGAATCCAAGCGCTTAAGGTACAAAATTGCATAACATGAGACACCAAAATGTATAACACAAGACACATACACATGCTTTATAGTTAAAAAAAAAAAAAAAAAAAAAAAAAAAAAAAAAAAAAAAAAAGCCTATAACGTAAATTGAACAACAAACCGTCAAAATTAAAATTCAAAACTACATCGTTTAGGATCAGAGTTCAAAATAAATAATTTATTTATAATTTAGTAGATAATAAATATTCAATCCAACTACTTAAATTTTTAGTTGAGACACATCCTTCAATTTGACCTGCACATTCTCTTTTTCTCTCTCACTACTAAACATTCAATTTTAACAACTCTACTAGAATAGGAAAATATTGTTGTTGAGATTTCCACTTGAGCAGAAAACTGCAGAATTCACACTATTTCATAGCTTGTTTAATTCCCAAGGAAATAACTGTTTTCATTTATCAGCACTCGTTTGTTAATCTTGCACTCAGTTGCAAATTTTGGACAATTAACATTGTACTGTTTCGTATTCACTGCTCTATTTATCTTTACACCAAAAACAAGGAATTTTTATTATCATCAAAGTCTGGCAATCTTTACACCAAACTCAGTAAGGGTTGATCTTAAAAATCCATGGAACTTACACTTCTAGTCAGTTCTGCACGCAATTCTATTTGTTCTTGCGAGATTCAGATACCCCAGTTGCAGCTGCTTGGGTAGAAAAGCGCCTGAGGCCCGCCCTAATGGCCGATACTAAGCCATCCCAGCAAGACCTTGCCTTCCCCTGAACACTGGATAATGCTCTAGATTTGAAGGTTCCTTTAAGATAGAACCATTTCAAATTAGTTAATGACATGGAGAATAACACAATGATGTTGCTATATAATCAGTTTGACTTGTCTATTTCTCCCTAACTGTATTCTTTTTCTTCCCGAAAAACTATGTACAATCATGTTGTCATACAAAATGCAAATTTTGGAGAACTTTTTAAACTTCACACTCGCTACAGATGCTTTTCTTATTTACAAATATTACCAGTAATGGCACACTCATAAAGACTAAAAGAAGACGAACGGATTGCAAAATTTATGGACACAAAAGATGTAGAGGCAGGAAAATTAAGGAGTGAAGTGTACCTTTTGGAGATCCATCTGCATTTCCAGTTGCACTCTGTAATTCAACACAAACTAATCAGAATCTCATTCCAGAGCATTGTCTAACTAGAACACAACTGAAAACTCATGACTTGGTCAACTTACTTCTCCTTCCTCCAATTTGCTCATCTTTGCAATAATGTTGCCATAGAACTGTGCATCCTTCTTGTCATATTCCTTAATTTTATCTTTCAAGACTTTATACTCTAATTTGACATCCCTGGTATCATCCATATATTGCCAGTATGAAAGTCAGTGTATGCATTGCAATACTGACAACCCAGAAATTTGCACCTGTGGTCTATACTTCATATTCATAGATCAAGTTTTACCAAAAAAAATATTCATAGATCAAGAAATATGCACGATTTGAAGAAGAAAAACAGATATGCACCCAGACTAAAAATAACATATTCCATTTCAGGCTACTTATTTAAATCCATGTTAAGGTGATCCATACCACACAAGTCTGAGGAAAAATATTTCTCCTGAAAGGTTAAGGTTCTAAATTTGCAACATAGTAGCAAGAATATGATAAGAGTTACATACCTGTTATCTGGATCAATTTCTAGTGCCTTCTTAATATCAAGTTCTGCCAAATCCAATTCAACAAGGTGCATGTATGCTTGGGCCCTTCTGTACAGGGCTTTCACATTTCTAGGGTCGATCTCTAAGACTTCAGTACAAAGTGTCATAGCATTTTCATAGTCTTTTAGCTTTAGCTTACATGCGGCATTGTTCAGTTTACAAGCGACTTTCAGCACCTTAGTTTGTTGTTTCTCTTCATCATTGAATGAAGAATCATATTCAATGAAACTTGCAGCCTGAGCAGAAAATATTGAGCAATGGCATTACATGATAATGTCATTATGATGATAAATGACATGGCAACCATGCTAAAATTAACCTTAAGAAATTATGGCATAACTAGAGTTTAAAGATGCTTCCAATCTTAATCATACCTTCTCATATCTTTTGGATGCTCTCTCATATTTTCCAGCCTTAAACCATGAATTTCCTTGTTCCTTTTTCATTCTAGCAGCTTCAATTTTCTCCTGAGTATTGCTCATGTCCCAAGAATCCTTATCCTGCAGCAAGAAAAAATAAATAAATAAATAAAAGACGACAAATTTTAATGCAAGTATAGGTCCAGTGACATACTGAAATTTATCTTTAAATGACCTAAATAGAAGGAAATTATTTTCACTAACCTTTACAAATGACACCATCTCAATCTCATAGTACACTATTGAATTACCAGGAACTGTGGCCAACTCTTGTGGAGAATCAGACTGACCAAATGCATATTCTGGTTGAATGGTTATAAGTGCAATTTCTCCATTCTTCATTGTTTTTACAGCTTTGTCAAGTCCATCAATAACTTGGTCTAGACAAATATGAAACCAAGTCACAACTTTCTCCAAACAAACAAACAAAAGAATAGAAATGGCTTCTCACTATGTTGCACTCTTCAGTGATATGTCAATCATTACCTTCATCAACTTTGAATTCAAATGGTTCCTCATCGCTCCCCTTTTTAACAAAAATAGTTCCATCTTGCAACTTCCCCGTCAGTTTCACTAGCACAATTGTAAGACAAGTTCATTTAAATAGCTGACCAATTAGCTTGCTTGCCATATCTGTTGTTTACCATGAACAGTTTACCTTTTACGACTGCACAATCATTAGGATGTTCATACCGTTCTCCTTCCTTCAGAATTTTTTTTATTACTTTCTTGTCTTTTGTCACTTCAGAAACAATTTTCCAAGAGATCAATTCTAGATTTATTTTAAGGGAAGCATTTGGTGGCACACCATTCTCCTCAGCAGTGGCTTGCCTGCCCATTTCTCTAAATGCATCTACCAAAATAAAATGGTGAGCAACAAAGTGGAAGCAATTATAAATATGTAGAGTGATGAGAAACTGAGTTACATTGAGGCTTTACAGTCAACAGGACTTTTTCTCCCTTCTTCATTGTTTTAACAGCTTTTGCCAAAGCAGGGCAAAAATAGCCTGCACAATAGTTTGCATGTTATGCATAACTTTAAAAAATGTTAATGATCGTAATTCAAAAGAGGAAAGATGTGCATACCATCTTTAACAGTGAATTCTACTCCATCAGATTTTGAGACAAATGCCCCATCTTCAAGCAGTGCCTCATATTTGACTACAAATAAATAAATGCATATGACAGAAGATTAATAGATTTAGCTCCCAAAATAAATCAAGCGTAACAGAAGTTAGACAATAGATGATATACACACCAAACACTTCATCAATATCTTTGGGATTTTGCCACCCCTCTCCTTTAGTAAGGATCTTTTTAAATATCCCACCATCCTTGCATATGTCCTTAACACTAATCCAAGAGAGCAACTCCACTTCAAACTGCAGAGTGGCATTGGGAGGTATATCTGGAGGCGACCCGGACTCACCATAGGCAAGCTCTGGGGGTATGGTCAAGAGAGCTTTCTCTACTTTCTTCATTGTCTTGATGCCTTCATCCCATCCTTTAATTACATGGCCTGTAACAGGTAAATCAATAGTGATATTACTAAACCAAAAATCTTTACTCTTTCAACAAATATCTAAGTTAAAGATAGTAGCACCTATAAAAACCTAACGGCTAACTCTAGTGTAGAACTGCGCATTTGATATTTTGATGAAGGCCAAACATCTAGATTTCTAGATATTTTCACTTTACCAGAATCACATTATTTTTTTTCCCCCATTTTTATGAATTTCATAGTGTTTTTGTCAACTGTAAGATCTCGACCATTCATAACCTGTGTCCCCTCTAAAAAGGAAGGAAATAGAAAACAATAGAAAAGAGGAAGAACATAGAAATAGAAGAAGAAAAAAAAAAGTCAAAAAGGAATTACTCAACTATACATGATTAAGTGCCCAAGTTTTATTCGACACTGCAGCAATTAACTGGAACCAAAGATACAAGGTTGTGAAGTATAAATTATGATGGTTAAAGAATCTACCAACAAAATTCTTAAGAGATGTCAAGGCAATAGTAAAATGAATAAAAAGGCCTGGCTTTGATCATGCTCTTTTTATACCCCAATATCCAAATGCTCTAGATGTTTAGTAAAAACGACTAAACTCTATATCACAGTCATCACTTTCAGAGTTTCAGGACTTCAGAAAGCACCTAATTCAAAGTACCCTTTACCAGAAAACAAACACCAAGGATGGTTTATAGCAACAAATGTTAGAGAATACACCTTTAAAGATATTATTCTGGATTAGAACTGTAGTATTTGTTGAGGCAAAAGTGCAAAACTGCTTTCACATGTAACCCCGTGTTCAATGAATCCCGGGATCCAAAGTACCATGATAAGACTAGCTTTCTAAAAATTATTGATTTATCAGAACCAAACCATTTATATTTTTTGATAATTCTATAGTGTATTATCATAGCAAGATCTCCAGTACCATTAACCACCTCTCTCCCTTTGGAAAAGAAAGAAAAATACGAAACAGAAAGAAATGAGAAAGGGCAAAACAAAATGAGTTTTCTGTAAGTTATTACGGGCCCAAGTTTTATTTACATCACTGACACCAACTGGAACAAAAGACACAAATGCATTGCAATTAATCGTGATGGTTAAAGAACCTACCAACAGAATTCCTACAGTGTATCAAGTCACTAGCAAAATGAATTAGCCCCAAATGCACTAGATGTTAGTGAATAGGAGCCAAAATTAACATTACAGTCACCACAATTAAGCATTTGCGATGTAACTGCTTTAAAGTATCATATTCTTTCTTCTATAGTTAATAAAGCCACTTGGTGTATAAATGTTTTGGACAATGTTACAGTAGACTAGCAGTCTAGTAGAGGACTCTATTACATGTTTCTCACATGAGAATTATGACAGTATGTTAGTACATAAGGAATCCATTATTCAAACTAATGTCACTTAGAAAATATCCAATGAGGGGATTTTCCACAACCAAATTGCACTACCAATTAGGTTGAAAAACTAAAGCTGAATATGTCTTCTTAGGTCATAATTATGACAGTATGTTAGTACATAAGGAATCTATTATTCAAACTTATGTCACTTAGAAAATACCAACTGAGGGGATTTTCCATAACCAAATTGCATGACCAATTAGGTTGAAAAACTAAAGCTGAATATGGCTTCTTAGGTCATAATTAGAGGATTGTTAAAACTGAAGTTCAGAAACCACACCCCATTCAACCAAAATGGAATAAATTATCAACAGTGGCACAACAAAATTATCAAATTGTGAACCAAAAGTATCAGGTAGAGATTTGATGAGAAGGATCTCAATCATATGCAATTATTACTTCCCATCTGGACGATTTGTTTTAGTTCCAGCTTAAAATAATCTAAATGTTGTAATCATATGTCAAAGGAGAGAAATTGTTGCTAACAACTATTCAACTATAAGTTTGAAAAGCCATAAGAAAAGCACCAAATCACCATAAACAAGTATTTACAATAATCCATTTTTAAAAACAGAATTTTCAGAAAAAGGAACATCTAAAGTCAATAAAAAAGAATCTAATAATATTAACCCTACTTCAACCATAATCTCCAAAAGACCCAAAAGCAACAACACCTAACAAATAGATCCATTCATTTTCCAGAAGAGAAAAGTCTCTATTAAACAAGCAAGCCTGAATGTAATGAAGCACTACCTTCACCAAGTTTAAACTTGAATGGGGTGCCCCTGTCAAGGCTCGAATCGAACTGTGTTCCATCAAGCAACCTTCCCACATAATGAACTGCAACCCAAGCAATAATTCATCAACAATTACACACAATTGACATTGTAACATTAAGTGTAGAAACAGCAAAACAGATGTAACTATTGAAGCAGTTAAATTTGGTACGAATGCCAACACTAAAATACAGCAAACCAGATGGTTGTACATTGTATCTTTTTCTACCGAATTGTTAACAATACAACTATTCAGTGAAGAAATCAAATAATCATCACCCGTAATCTTAGCCTCAGAGACAGAATGAGGATAAAAACCGGCAATCTACCGAATCAACACGGCAAAACTTGATAAATGGCTGACCATCGAACTCTTAATGATCCAACGAACAATGCACTACGTAATTTCTTATACCAGCGACAAATTCGAACCAAAAGGCAACACAAGACGCACTAGAATTCATAAGAGCATGAAATTGCGAAGGTAATACCTTCTACTTCGTCTCCAACGTTAGGATTCTCCCAACCTTCACCTTCCCTGAGAAGCTTCTTCTTGATCCCAGTCTTCCCAAGCGGCTTCTCCTCCCCAACCTTGAGAATTGGGTTGTCGTCCGGAACATCATCCGCGGCCATGTCATCGGCAACGTCGTCGCTGGACATCGGGAAGTCGAAATCGTCATCCATGACCGATCTCTGAACGCAGTAGAATCACGAGAGGAGATGGAGATAAGCATTCATATACCGGAGAGAGAGGAAGCGAAATGGGTCAATGGGTCAACTGTCTAGAGTGTTCCATGAGCATAGAGTGACAGAAAGTCAGAAACTGAGAGTGGAAAATGGCCTAGAAAGTTCTAAGGATGAGAATTGAGAAAGAAACGTTCATTTTGTGGGATGCTATTTGCTAATTGGTTCGGACAAGTAGGCCTAGGGCGAAAGTGTCCCCAGAAAAAATAATTTTTAGAAATGTTTTTTGGGTTTGGCTAGGTAGAAAAATGAAAAGTGAAAGAAAAATCAATTTTGATTAATAAAAAATAATTCTATTCTTTCAGAAAATGGCTGCTCCTTGTTTTTGGAAAGTCATTTTTCGTTTTTTCAGGCCTTCTTCTTCGCTTCTCGACTACGAAAAATGATTTCTGACTTAGAAACACCCAAATCTGAATTTCCAAGTCGTTGGTTTCTAACTTGGAAACGCAGATTCTGGATTTCCAAGTCTGTTTCCAATTTGGAAATCCAGAATATGGTTTCCAAGTCGAAAACCAAATTGGTTTCCGACATAGAAATCAAAAATCTGGGTTTCTGAATTGGAGAATCGGAAATCAAATTGGTTTCCTTGACCAATCTGGTTTCCGGCAAGGAAACCAGTCCAATGTTATTTAATTTTTTTTTAAATAAATTTATTGTTTGGAGTTATACATGAAGTCACATCTATTGTATGTTAAAGATTTGAAAAGATAAAATTTTCTTCGCATTATAACAATTAAAATATTAAAGTATATAATTTTGCTCATTTTTTTGTTATTTTTTGGAAAATGAACCAAACACATAAAGAGAGTTTTCTATTGTGCAGCCAAACACATGAAAGAAAAATGTTTTCTGAAAAATGAGTTATTTTTCAAAAAGCATTTTCTAGAAGTTATTTTATTGCTTTCTAAATGGACCCAAGTTAGTGTCAGGGTTATTGACTGAGGGGCATGGATGGAAATAGGCCATTTTAGGGGAAAAGACTGTAATATGACAAAAATTGAATAGATTGATAAAAATAAGACCAATTTAAAAAGTTGGGTAAAAGAGAGAAAAAGACGTTTGGGACATGCCTTTAGCGTCAAAAACGCATGTCTCAAACGTCTTTTTCTCACTTTTGTCCAGTTTTTAAATTGATCCTATTTTTGTAAATGCATGCAATTTTTGTCATATTACAATCTTTTTCCCCATTTTTGAAGGCACTAGACAAAAATGAAATACTTTTTTATTTTGGGTGATTATAAAAGGGTGTTGCTATTTGCACCACCCTTTGACCAAAAGTGAATATAAAGTATCTTGAAATTGTAAAAATGTGAAAATTTTTAATAATTGCATAGGTGGTGTAAATAGCCAAATAAGAATTTATTTTGCTATTTGCACTACCTTGACCAAACCTTATTTATGAGATATAATTAATAATATTTTAATTCAAAACCTAATTAATTAAAACATTAATTTTTATTAAAAAAAAAAAAAAGAGATGAACCCAGTCATTGTTTTGCTTTTGTTTTTTGTTTTTGTTTTTTGTTTTTGTTTTTTGTTTTTGTTTTTGTTTTTTTTTTTTTTGTTTGTTTTAATGCCTAATTATTTATGCAATATTTTTTTAAGTTTCAATAAATATTTTTTTAAGTTTCTATTTTCAATACATCTTTTTTTTTGTTCAATATATATATTTTTTGTTCAATACATATTTTTTTTAAGTTACTAATTTTAATACATTTTTTTTAAGTTTCTAATTTCAATACATATTTTTAAGTTTATAATTTCAATACATGTTTTTTTAAACAATTAGTCAATATTGATGTTTGTGAGATGAAATTACTGATAATTTGGGCGGTAGATAATACAAATTGGACTCATATGACTCTATATATATGTGGGGTGTGTGTTATGTATATGTATCACACAATCTATAAGCCATGGATGATTGGATAGAAGATTTTTTTAGTTACAATAATCATAATCAAAACCAGTTACTTAGTTACAATGATCAAAATCAAAGTCAATGACATTATGAGGTATTTTAAGTTGTTATTTGAATTTGAATTGTTAATGGATTGTTATTTATTTCTATGGGTGTTGCTATTTGTATTTTAAGCCAGTTTGTTCTTGTTTGCTAGGTAATTAGGATTCATTTAAATTAGATATAATTTCTCAATTGACTAAATAACAATCTCTTTGTTCCATGTCAAGAGAGAAAATTATACTATTAATCAATTTAGTGAATATAGTTGTAAATTAATTTAATTTGTTGTGAATATAGTTGTAAATTAAGCAATTTATTGTATTTACAGTATAAACAAATAGGCAGAATTGAATTGTTAATGAATTGTTATTTATTTCTATGGGTGTTGCTATTTGTATTTTAAGCCACTTTGTTCTTGCTTGCTAGGTAATTAGGATTCATTTAAATTAGATATAATTTCTCAATTGACTAAATAACAATCTCTTTGATACATTTCAAGAGAGAAAATTATAGTATAAAAAGTAATGAATTTGGGATTTTATTTATTGGGTGACTGGTGAGTCTATCTATATACTTAATTAATTTAATTTGTTGTGAATATAGTTGTAAATTAATCAATTTATTGTATTTACAGTATAAAAAGATAGGTAAAAAATCAATTTATTGAGTAAGATTGAGTACATAGAGCAATATATACTACAAAGTATACATAGAGCAATATATACTACCTCAAAATTGTTAGAACTCTAATCCACATATCTTTATAAATTGTTACAGTATTTACAGTATAAAAAGATAAGTAGAAAATCAATTTATATTTCAAAGTCTCAATAGAACTCTAACCCACATATCTTTATAGAATTTTAACTACATCAAAATTGTTAGAACTATAACCCACATATATCTTTATAAAATTGTTACGGTATTTATAGTATAAAAAGATAGGTAGAAAATCAATTTATATTTATTCATTTCAAATATCACTAGTAATCATTTTATATTTCAATTTATAGTTAAATCAATTTAAAATAATGTATACAACAAATTTGAGTTATAAAAATAAACAAAAATACGTATTGAAAATATAAACTTAAAAAAACATGTATTGAACAAAAAAAAAATGTATTGAAAAAAGAAACTTAAAAAAATATGTATTGAAAATAAAAACTTAAAAAAATATTGCACAAAATAATTAGGCATTAAAACATAATAATAATAATAATAATAATAATAATAATAATAATAATAATAATAATAATAATAATAATAATAATAATAATAATAATAATAATAATAAAAAGATTGATTATTAAATAAAAATAAATAAAGATTAATGTTTGACTACATTTAATGAAGTGGTGCAAATAGCACTTTTTTATTTACACCACCTATAAAGCTATTACACCTATTAAATAGGGAGTGTAAATAGCAAAATGGATGGTGCAAATAGAATTTCCCTTATAAAACAAAATCATTGGAACTTGTGTTTATAAAAACGCAAGTCCTAATGAAGTAAAAACTTGGGTAATGTAGTTTATTATTTTTTTGAAATAAATTTTTTCACATCCTTTATATAATAAAGCTATATGGTTTGGAAAATAATTAATGCTACAATTAATGCCACAATATCTTTTATTAAAAAAAAAAAAAAAGCACAACATTTAAGAAATAAAATAATTATATATTATATAATCATATAAAAAATATACTTTTGAAAAATAAAATAGCTATATATTATATAATCATATAAAAAATGTGTTCAATTAGAGTTTAAATTTACACATACAAAATTTGAAATTTGCTTTCCAAATGTAATTATCTTAGTTATTATTTGTATTGTGAAAATTATAATATAGATGAAATACAATTAAGAATAAATCAATATAATTATGTAAATTATCTCTATACGTTTATTTGAATATGCACATAATTAGATATTATATTAACCATACAAAATTTTAATTTTAATTTTAATTGTAATTTTGTATTCTATAAAAATAATAAATACTTGACCAATGGAAGCTCAAAAATATTATTATATTAAATAATTTAAAATATTTTAGTTTTTCTATTTTTTATTTATATTTATAATAACATAATTTTTTCTCGTGCATCGCGCGGGTGAATTACTAGTTAAATATATATATATGTTAAATGTAAGTGAGATTTACGTGTTTCCTTCCGCATTAGTTTTTGCTAAATTACACCATTCCGTATGAGCTTCAATGACACATGCCGTCGTAATTGTTGTTGCAACACGATTGGTCGTCATTCATCAATTCCACCACCTGGCCTAGCCTTACTCCGCCATTGCAATTGCGCAGGTCCACGTCCTGAACTTGGGCGAGGACTTGTTCCAAATTGAGAAGCAGTCTAATCTTGAATGGAATGAGATACATAAACTGGAGAGGAGGAAACAAGATGCAACAGAGTAGTTGCGCGGTGAGATCTTTTTTTAATAAATGTAAGTGGAATTGTGTTTGTGACGTATGAAATTACACAACACAAACGCAAGTCCTATTTGTGCTTGGCAAATATATATATAAAAAAAAACAAAAAAAAAAAAAACAAAAAACTCCGTAACAAATTTCATTGGGACTTGCATTTTTTTTACAAAAACAAAAACAAAAAAACAAAAAAACAAAAACAAAAACAAAAGTCCCGATGAATATTTTTTCTAGAGGTTTCCAAAATTGAAAATATCCCATTTTTGTCCCAATACTTTTAAAAATGCCATATTTGAGTTAAAAATGCCCTATTTCAACTACATTTCAATTAGGACCGATCAAAATAAATACATATCTTAAATTCCATTTACATATTAAGGTGTTTGAAAAATTACTTATTAGGCTAAGATTATCCCTGCCAATTTAACATTGACAAGATGACATGGCAATTGTTATAAACATTTCTATTTTTTTTTTTTAATGATGAGTTGGATTGTAAATTTGCAATTCGTACAAAGCTGCCACAACAACTACGGCAGCTTTTTGTACTTTTTTTTAATTTTGTTTATTTACTTATTTTGTTTTCTTTTATTTTTTATTATATTTATTTAATTTATTTAATAATATTTTAAAGTGATGTGATATTGCGGTCCATTTTTAAAAATATGTTGGATTTGCAGGGGTATAATGTAAATAGTAAATGATTTGCAAATTGGGGGATGTGGACGTGTGACCCATTTTTTGTTTTTAGAATGAGAGAGGATTTGCAGGAATAAGAATAGCCTTAGGCAAAGTCAAACTTGTTTGATCAACTTTAATGGCACGTTTGGTTCGCGGAATATGTCTGGAATGAAATAACATTCCTAGTAATATGCATATTCCTTTGTTTGGTAAAAACATATATTCTCAGGAACAATTTTCCTAAGAATGACCTATTCCCTTTACAAGGGGAATGGGGATTCCTAGGGCCTTCTAGTAGTAGGCTATTCCTGAGTTTTCAGGAATAGCCTAAAGTTGTTATTTCTTATTTTACCCCCCAATTAAATTGATTTCTTATTTCACCGTTGATGGGGAATATACCCCGGGTTCAGGCTCCTCGTACGCTCCGTGCTCCTATTTGGGTCGGGTCAAATGGTTCGGGTCAAGGTCAAACCCGACTTGGTTTGGCCTATATAAGGGTTTTTAACCCTTCATTTAGGGGCTCCCCTTCACTTCCACTAGCTCCCTCCCTCTCCTCCACTACCCTCTATCTTTCTCTCTCTCTACACACAGTTCACTCTCAACTCTCTCTATAAATAGGGAAAAACGCAATTATGAATAAAGGGGTATTTGGAGCTAATTCCTCTTGTCTACATGCATCGTTGTTCATACTATACCCATCCTACGTACACGGGAATTACCCGTATCAACCATCGCCACCGCCACCGCCACCGCCACCGCCGTTGACGCCACCACCACCCCACCACCGACACTGTCACTGCCGCCACCACCACCGCCACCGCCACCGCCAATATAATACAATTCCTATGCTATTCCTTGCATATTCCATTCTTTATGGAATAGCACTCCTATTACCTCAAAATTCATTCCGTGAACCAAACGTGCTGTAATTGTTTGACTTGTCAAACAATTAATATAATTGTTTGGTACATGTTGTTTGGTTTATTTTATTGATGTTAATAAGCTAAAAATGAAAAATGTATTATGAGTAGCTTATTGATATCAACTATTGCATTTTTTGTTTTAAATGTCTAATTTATCATTGATAGTTTTAATTTGGGTATTAGTGTTTTTATTTATTCAATTTTCAAACACACACATACACATATCTAAAAACATAATAAGTTTCAATCTAGGTTATATATCTTGTTTATGTTCGTTTTTTCTATTTACTTTTGGCGTACCTTATGCCGTAAAAATTGTATTACATAATTTTTTGAACAGAAATATCTCTACCGTTATAACATCTGTTATCTTTTCACATTATTACTATGTACATGCATACACACTATTTTTTTCTTACATTCTTCAATGGTAAGTTTGATTTTATTTAAATTTTAATTAATGTTACCATAGTTATATTTAGTAATTTATCATTTATATAATTCTTACTTCATTAATATTAATATGAATTCTACAATTATAAATAAATAGATAAATAAATAAAAAATAAAGTATATATATATATATATATATATATATATATATATATATATATATATATATATATATATATATATATATATATATATATATATATATATAATTGCACTCAGGTGCGAATGAAGCTCCCAGTAAGGAATATGCGAACCAATCAGCGCGCGATACGTGTCCAGATCTAATGGATTAAAAAAAATATGGTGGCATTTTCGTAAATAATTGAACATCGAAGTGCAAGTAAAATGTATTATAGGTGCAAGTAAAATTTACACTGAGTATCAATACGAAGTGCACCTATAGTTATAAGTAGTTGCACCTGTAGGCACTGTTGCAAAAATCGCGCCTAGGCGCTAGGCGCCCGGCCTCCTAGGCGGCCTAGGCGCCCGCCTAGGCGTTCCCCAGGCGCCTAGAGGGCGCCTAGCGATTTTTCAACATTGCCTGTAGGTATAAGTAGTTGCACCTGTAGATATAAGTAGTTGCACCTATAGTTATAAGTAGGTGCACCCAAGTGAATGAATCGTTGCGGGAAGTTAATGTTAACAAGACAGAATTACATGCACTTATAAGTGAAAGTAGGTGCACCTATAGTTATAAGTAGTTGGACAAATAGTTATAAGTAGGTGCACCTAGGTGAATGAATGGGTGCGGGAAGTGAATGCATGTTAACAAGACAAAATTACATGCACTTATAGGTGAAAGTAGGTGCACCTATAGTTATAAGTAGTTGCACCTATAGTTATAAGTAGGTGCACCTAGGTGAATGAATGGTTGCGGGAAGTGAATGTTAACAAGGCAAAATTACATACACTTATAGGTGAAAATAGGTGCACTTGTAAGTGATTTTACTTGCACTTCGATGTTCAATTATTTACGAAAATACCACCGCATTTTTTTTTATCTATTAGATCTAGACATGTGTCACGCGCTGATTCGTTCGCATATTCCCTCCTGTGCAATTATTCGCACCTGAGTGCATCCCTATATATATATATATATATATATATATATATATATATATATATATAATTGTGTTAACCGTTATATAGAATTATTATTAATAACTTATTTTTATTTAAAATTATATTTTTAATATTGAATTATTAATAACTATGGAGTATTCCTTTATAATTATAGCAGTATTAATAATAAAATACAAATAATGCTTACAAAATAATTACTCTGTAATATAATAGCAACTCCCAGAATATGTGTCACATCATCGTTGTCTTCCTCTCGTGTGTTCTTACTATAGCATATACTAGACTTGTGGTAATTCACCACTTGCCCAGACAAATTTTCATATCGTGTCAAATAATTAATAGTGGTAAAAGAAATTCTTGTGCGAGTATCGTATATGCTATAGTAAGAACACAAGTGACAAACACACGGTATGAAAATTGATGTCTCCAAACCTAGAATTGATAGAGTTTGGATTGAAGTTGTGAGTGAAAATGGTGAATCGAAGGGTTTCTAACAGCAATTTTCCATCCGTGCTAATCCTCGAAGTTTTCCCAATTGAAGGACTTCACCGCCGCCGCCCTTTATTACCATTCACTGGACTTGGGAAAAAGTAAATCGGACCTCTCACCGACTGAACGACAGAATACGCTTGGAAGGACTTATTCGACCAAAATTAATTGACTTCGAGGACTAAATTGATGAATATGGAATTGAGGGACTACATTGACAGTTCGCCAATAATTGAGGACCAAATCGTTGATTTTCCTTTTAGTTCCCGACTATCGTTTTTGTCATTTAATATCCTAAATTATTATTTTTTGAACACTTTTAGTTCTTTTTCATGACTTTTCTTATTTGTAGTAAGGACATTTTTTTACTACCATATTTTTATTTTATTATTATTATTTTTGATTTCAAACAGTTTAATTGGTTTATAACTTTAAGTAATCCCTTATTTTAGTAACCATACTTTTCAAATGATTTTTAGTAAAGTCTTAAACTAATTAAACCGGTTGAAATCTAAAAAATAACAATAGAAAAATATGAAGAGACAAAAATGCCATTACTAAAAATAAGAAAAGTCACGTGAAGGACTAAAAGTGTTCAAAAAATAATAGTCTGAATATTAAACGACAAAAATAATAGTCTGTAATTAAATTTGGAATTGACATCAAGACAATGGACATACGAAGAAATCCTTTATATAATAAAGCTATATGGTTTGAGAAATAATTAATGTTATAATTAATGCCACAATATCCTTTATTATAAAAAAAAAACACAACATTTAAAAAATAAAATAGATATATATTTTATAATCATATAAAAAATATACTTTTGAAAAATAAAATAGCTATATATTATATAATCATATAAAAAATGTGTTCAATTAGAGTTTAAATTTATACATACAAAATTTGAAATTTGCTTTCCAAATGTAATTATCTTAGTTATTATTTGTACTGTGAAAATTATAATATAGATGAAATACAATTAAGAATAAATCAATATAATTATGTAAATTATCTCTATACGTTTATTTGAATATGCACATAATTAGATATTATATTAACCATACAAAATTTTAATTTTAATTTTAATTGTAATTTTGTATTCTATAAAAATAATAAATACTTGACCAATGGAAGCTCAAAAATATTATTATATTAAATAATTTAAAATATTTTATTTTTTCTATTTTTTATTTATATTTATAATAACATAATTTTTTTCCGTGCATCGCGCCAGTGAATTACTAGTTAACTCTAAAAGCCATGTTTCTAATGTTGAATTTAGTAGTTAATATATAAATACATTTTTGATTCATTGGCCAAAATTTGTTATTGCATTGACATTGTACTTGTATGGTATTCAATGTATTTTTCATAGTTAGGAATTAAAAAAAAAAAAGAAAAGAAAAAGTGTGGGGTGTTAGTGTAGTTTACAAAGTAATTAAGGAAATAAGTTGAATATTTAGAAACATCATTGGTCCATGTAAAAAAAAAATTTCAACCTCTCTTCTCCTCTTCATCTACCCCACTCTGCTGCCTACCCTTCTCACATTCCTCTATCTCCCTCCCAATTTCTCTCTCTTTGTTTTCCCTTCTTTCTTAGTCGCTTCTTCCGCCGTGTGACCCCTTTGGCCTCTACCCATCACCCGCCATTACCATTGGGGTCGCCCAATTTTCTTGTATTTTGTCCTAAATTAAAAACCAAAAAAATTTTGTTTATATAGTTTTGTGTTTGTTTGTATTTATTTATATTATATAGCGAGATCATCGTTAATGGCGTCCAGCGAGATCTCTCAGACGGATACGGAGGGTATCGACGGCGTCCGCATGACGTGGAATGCGTGGCCGCGTACCAAGGTGGAGTCCAGCAAGTGCGTGATCCCAATCGCGGCCTCGATCCACCTGATCCGTCCCCAGCCGGAGCTCGTCACGGTTCCGTACGCGCCGCTGCGCTGCAAGACCTGCACCGCCGTGCTCAACCCCTTCGCGCGGGTCGATTACCAGGCGCTGATATGGATCTGCCCCTTTTGCTTCCAGCGCAACAGTTTCCCCCACCAGTACTCCGCCGTCTCCGAGACCAACGTCCCGGCCGAGCTCTACCCCCAATTCACCACCATACAATACACTCTCCCTCATAACCCTAACATCGGCCCCAATTCCGCTGCCGGCCCGCCTCCGGTTTACTTGTTCGTCCTCGATACGTGCATGCTCGAGGAGGAGCTGGGTTTCGCGAAATCCGCATTGAAACGGGCTATCGGAATGCTCCCGGAGAATGCCATGGTTGGGTTTATCTCCTTCGGAACTCAGGTGCAGGTGCACGAGCTTGGGTTTTCCGATATGTCGAAGGTGTATGTATTCCGGGGATCAAAGGAGTTGTCTAAAGATCAGGTTTTGGAGCAATTGGGGCTTGGTGGCGTTGGTGGAAGGATGCCGAAGGGTGCTGGTGGGCCCACAGCGGTGCTTCCTGATCTCGGTATCAACAGATTCTTGTTGCCTGCTACAGAATGTGAATACACTCTGGATTCGGTCAGTTTCAGCTGAAAATCTGTGTTTCCCCAATGTGCTTATGCTCAGACCAAGTCTTGGAATGCTTGTATTTTATTAATTCTTTGTTGGTATTCTATGCAGTTATTAGATGAATTGGTTACGGATCAATGGCCCGTGCCTCCAGGAAACAGGGCATTACGCTGCACGGGGGCGGCTTTGAGTGTAGCCTCGGGTTTGCTAAGTGCTTGTTTGGCTGGTGCTGGTGCACGAATTGTAGCCTTGGTGGGAGGTCCATGCACAGAAGGGCCTGGAGCTGTAAGCCTTTTCATCTACTATATTTTTGCTCCTTATTTAGTTTCTATTAAAATTTTTGGCCCCTCCACCTCCATTGACATTTGATTCTCATTGGCACTTGTTTCCTTATGTGCTTGGTTAGATGCTTACATGCCCAATCCTAAATTTCACAGAAAAAACATGATTTTATTTTTGTTTTTTTATGAAATTAATAAAATAATGATAATTTTCTCAACATATGGTTTCATGAAATAGCAGAGCAGCACAGATACATTTTGTTGAAGCAGCTTTCATACATGGTGTTTATTGGTCTTATTATGCTTGTTTTGTGGTGAATAGGAAGAAAATCAAAATCCTTCAAACTGATGAATTTTAAAACCCTTTTCCTGTAATATATTAAATAGTGGGTTTGGGCTAATCCTAGTAACATATATTTGAGAAATGGGGCAAGAAGGGATCAAATTATGCATATAAAATGAAGAAATTGATCACATAGTTTCTTGGATGTGCAAGGAGATATACATGAAATGATGAAATTGATCTCTAGCTAATATGAGGTCTAGTATTTTTGGGTATTGTAGGCTTGTACATATTTATTTCCTGATGCTTCCCTGTCTCTATCAGATCATGAAAATGAATAATTCTGTTAACATCTGATGAAGCTGCAACCAATTTAAACACTTCTGGTTGGATCCAAATTGAACTGGAATTGGTTGTTCAATGTTTGAACAGTATGGCATCTTGTTATTTATCCAAAAAAAAGTTTGAAATAATTTAGAAATGGTTTAGAAGGGTTAATGGGCATCACTTAGCCAAACTGTATTGCTTATATAAATAGGAGTGGTTGCATTGTTTTTTCTCAATTTGATGTTTAAATCTCACATCTCTACCTCATCTGCAATGATTATTTTCATGGCTTCGTTATTACCAGTGTATGCTATTTTGACTTGTGATTTTCAGCTTTTATTTTCTCCCCAATAGTTTAAATAATGGTTAATTTGGTACTTATCTTAGTTTGCCGCATCAAATCATCATATTCAATTGGATTTTACTGAATGTTCCTGCATTTTATTCATTCGGCTGCAAATTCAAGTTTCTCACCATGGAGACTGGTACTAACTTTTCTTACTTTTTACTTCTGTTCAGATTGTTTCAAAAGATTTATCAGATCCTGTTCGGTCCCATAAGGATCTGGATAAGGATGCAGCACCCTTTTTCAAAAAGGCAGTCCACTTTTATGAGGAACTTGCAAAGCAACTAGTCAGTCAAGGTCACGTGTTGGATGTTTTTGCATCTGCGCTTGATCAGGTTTGTGTTGGCCAGCTCTTGATCTGAATTAAAGATTTTGGTTATTTATTATTTCCCATTGAGTCTTCAGTAGCTTTTTAGAATGCTATACACAATAATCTGATATAATATTTTCATGGGTTTGCTTAAGGTTATTTATTTTGTTGTTATTATTATTATTATTATTATTATTTTTATTTTTATTTTTATTTTTATTTGAAACTCCAAAGTGAATGAGGTCTCCAGTGTATGGATAGAGCCACAGTAGGATGTGCTAAGTTTATTTTCATATACATATAGATATGTATATGAAAGGTCTCCTACATGTTTATTCATATGCATGTGCATAATCTTCTCCTGAAACATATCTTGCCTCATATTTGAGGGAAAATAGATACAGATATGCATTTGTAAAGTCACATAAATATCTATTCACATGCATATGCACATCAGATGTTCAATCTATTATATTGTTTTAGACCATAATCTAAATGGATGCTTAGTGTTAAATGGTCTGTCATGGCAAAGAAGTGTCTACCAGGCTCTGCTGTTTTCTAATATCATGTAATTTTCACCTTAGGCATCACCTCAGAAATTCTCCCCTTTAGAATATCTAAGCATTTTAATAATTATTCTTTCCTTGTGTTAAGTACATTTATATTTTAATCCTGTTCTTTTGCCTAATATGGTTTAAATATACAGGTTGGGGTTGCTGAGATGAAAGTAGCAATTGAAAAAACTGGAGGACTTGTAGTTCTAGCAGAAAGCTTTGGTCATTCTGTTTTCAAGGATTCTTTCAAGCGCATTTTTGATGATGGTGAACAGTCGCTTGGGCTTTCCTTCAAGTGAGTGTCATGATATATTTTATTTTCTCGCTTTTCCGACTCCCATAGTAGTTTGTCTTGTTTTGTCCTCTAATTTGATTACTTTAAGATAAAAAGGAGTAATTTGTAGGGGCATAAACAATCCTTTGGGCTTTATTACAAATGGAAGGCAAGGCTTGTAATTATTGAAGGAAAGGCCCGGCTTTATGGAGCAAGATTGATTGATGCTATAAAATAAAATTTATAAAAAATGGGATACGTCCACCAATTGACAAATTCTAATCAATGATGTTTGAAAAACTAGGTTATACAATTTGTTTTCAATTCTTAGATTTGCAGCATTTGGCATATTAGTTACTGGGGTATATTACAATGAACACTACTTTTAAAGGACTGGTGACTTGAATGAGGTACCACAAAAGTGAACAACTTTAACTTCATTGGGCTTGCTAAACATAGAAATCTATGATAGGGTAAATGAGATTATAGTATAGGTATAAAACAAATAGTAGATGAAAACCATGAGATGTTCTTTTTCCCTGGTCTTGCTGTATCCCATAAAATGGCTATTAAACTATAGATACCTGTCCTTTCTACACAGATATTCAGAGTTTGTCAAAAGTAAAAGATAACTGGACAATATTTGGGTGCCTAAATTATACTTATGTATCAGATGGGTTTATATATGTGGATTTAAATCTACCCATTAATTCCTACTTTCATGAAGAAATAAAATACTGTTGTCTGAATTCAATCTAGTTTCCCTATCTTAATTAGATTTCCCAATTCTGAGTACTAAACTAGAAAGTTACTGCATATTGATCTAGGGATCAAAACATTAGCGTACCTACAATTAAGATCTCTCCTGCAGTCTCTCTCTACATACATAGGCATTGGAACATGGAGAGATGGCCAAAAACAAAAAGCATTTTCCTTCTCCGAGTAAAACTAACTTTATTTTCCACTGAGATGTTCAACTGCACTGACAAGATCTCAAGGAGCTCCATTGTTTTCTGTATTTGTATCTATGGATAATGTAGTAAATAGTTTTGTTTTGCTCCTATGGCTTTCAAATCTTTATAGGCAACTAATAATTAAAGTAGGTAGTTTGATGTGTTGGAAGTTTGCTGGATTCCTGTGAGCATTGACTGGATTGTGGTGAGCAGTGATTGGAATTGGTTGTGGTAGTGTTTAGCAGTATCCAGATTATTATTATTATTATTATTATTATTATTTTCAAAAAGTAAAGTGTTTTGTTAATTTAGCAGTAAAAATGTTACCAAAATTGTAAAAGTTTGAAATATATAATGCTGCTTTTTACCCATATAAAATATTGGTGGAAAGTGAGCGAATTTATCTGCCCATACTTCACTGAACCTGTCTGGTCTCAATTCCATGCATATGGTTCTTCTGTATAGAATGAATGAATGCAATCCTTTGCACATGATGACCTTGGCTCTTGCTTTTTGTGGTGATGCCATTTATGCATCCATGTATCAGTGGCACTTTCTTTTTGGGTACAAATTATTGCAAGTTCTAATTCATATATTTCTTCCAGTGGTACACTTGAGATCAAATGCTCAAAGGATATTAAGATTCAAGGAGTTATAGGGCCTTGCACATCTCTAGAGAAGGTTTGTTTGTTTTTTGTTAATTGGATATAAGACCTCTCCTAGAAGACAGTACTTTTGTTTTATGATCATTTAGAAGGTTGTTGCTGATGGCTGAGTTACTAGCAGAAAGGACCTGCTATTGCCAACACAGTTATTGGAGAGGGGAATACTACAGCTTGGAAGATGTGCAGTATTGACAAAACTACATGCATGACTGTTTTCTTTGATGTTTCATCCAGTGAAAAGTCAGACCCTACAGGCACTGCAAATTCGTATTTGTACATACAGTTCCTTACAAGGTACAAAATGTCATGAATTTGAATGCAGTTACCTAATTTCCCTCTTGAAAATGGTTTGGTTGAAGAATAGGTACTGTATTGACTAATTCTTTTTGTCATGAATTTGAATGCAGTTACCAGGGCTCTGATGGCCAAACAAAATTGCGAGTTACAACAATTAGTAGAAGATGGGTTGATACTGCTGTCAACTCTGAGGTGTGAAGCCAAATTCCTTGATGTGATTTGTTCATTATACGGAATACCATTTCCTTGTCTATACATTTTGGATTAATCAAGAATAGACCCACAACCACCTTTCATAAATGCTTTAGATATATGTGGCAACAGTTTCCACCTTATATGCATTTCTTAGTAATAGAATTCAAGAAGGTTCTGTGAAAGGATTTATTTTTTATTTTTTTGGTATCCATAACCTAACTAGAATTAAAACTCTTCTGAGCATATGCCTTTGTATGCACATTATCTTTTTGCACTTTGTGAATTTTTGTGGAAAGCACATGTGGATGGGTTGATGCTGAGGTGTGGTGGCATTTTTTGTTTTTGTAGGAGTTGATTCAAAGTTTTGATCAAGAAACTGCTGCTGTAGTAATGGCTAGGTTGGCTTCATACAAAATGGAGATGGAGGTATCTTCCTCGTCTTTCTGCATTTGTAAATTACCCTAGAAGTAGTTAACTAGCTATTATACCTGACTTCTTTTCCTCCTTATAGCTTGCAAGTTATTTTTATTTTATTATGCCCTGCTTAAACATCTTAACATTTTTTATTTTCTTGATTATTGTTTTTCCAGGAAGGTTTTGATGCCACTAGGTGGCTAGATCGGAATCTAATTCGTCTTTGTTCTAAATTTGGCGAATATCGGAAGGACGACCCTGCCTCATTCACATTAAATCCATTTTTTTCATTGTTCCCTCAGTTCATGTTTAATTTGCGGCGATCTCAATTTTTGCAAGTAATGTTACTCAACACGATCTCCTTATTCCTCATCTGTTGAAATTTTGTGATTCACCGTGTGTGTGTGTATATCTATATATGTATGTATGTATGTATATGTATATGTATTTTTGTATATGTAGTTACACATTGTCCTATTTCTCATAAATGTTTGCACCATAGGTTTTCAATAATAGTCCAGATGAGACAGCTTACTTCCGCATGTTGCTGAATCGAGAGAACATAAGCAATGCTGCTGTTATGATTCAGCCAACACTAACGTCCTTTTCATTCAATTCTCCACCTTCACCAGCTTTGTTGGATGTGGCCTCAATTGCAGCTGACCGTATCCTCTTGTTAGATTCTTATTTTAGTGTAGTTATATTCCATGGAATGACAATAGCTCAATGGAGGAACATGGGCTACCAAAAGCAGCCAGAACATGAGGTTTGCATTCATACTCTAGCTCTCTCTCTCCCTCATTTTTCTTTTTCTTTGGTGAAAATTTGAGATGCTATCATTGGGGTAGATACTTGTTTTTGTGTCTTCTAATCTTATTTCCTTCGGAATCTAAAATGCCTGACTGGATTTCCTCCATTGCCCAAAAGGTTCCCTGTCCCCACCTCTGGTGGTATTATCAATTTTTGCTATTAATTTTGGGAGCAGACTTGTGACAAATGCATCAATGTTTTCCAGTGCATATTTATATGCCTATAAGTAAAAAGAATGCTCATTTGGTCAAACTCTATTTTACTTTCCAGGCATTTGCACAATTACTGCAAGCTCCACATGATGAGGCCCAATCCATCATTCATGACCGGTTTCCTGTTCCCAGATTAGTGGTGTGTGATCAGCATGGGTCCCAGGTAATGATTTCATGAAACTTAAGCTTACTAATGTTTCAAAATTCAATTTTGGTTATCTTGTCTGCGCTCTTACAACTTCTTGGTTCCAAAATCGATTTATCCCAAGTCAGGAAGATGGAAAAGTTACTTCTCCTTAATTTACCGTTTTCTCTTTATTGCACTTTAATGGGTTTATGATGTAAATACATCTTTACCAATTTTAACAGGCACGGTTTCTGTTGGCAAAATTGAACCCATCAGCCACATACAATAATGCAAATGAGATGGGATCTGGATCAGATGTCATCTTCACTGATGATGTAAGTCTGCAGATATTCTTTGAGCATCTACAGCGGTTGGCAGTACAATCTTCTTGATCCGGGAAGTAAAAAAGACGGGGTTTTATAGTTGCATCATTTTGTGAAACCCTAGTAAGTTATCATTGTCTCCCCTCTAGCCTCAACAGAATCTTCTTTCCCCACCATATAATGAGAGGCTAGAAACAGACTTATCTGGATGCTGAGGACAATATAAAAACTTTTTTTTTTTTTTTTCTTTTTCCTGGGAGGTTATTTTGCTTTGAAACAAGGGGGCTGTCTCTGAATTCCTTTATGTTGTATGGAAAAAGCAATTTTGCTCCCACAATTTGGGTTGAATTTAGAGGGTAGCTCCTTTGATTTCCTCTGTTTTGTAAGTTGCCAGATTTCAGTTAAAAACCATGTGCCCATTTTGTATTGATATATTTCGAGGATATGCAAGTTAAATAGCCAGAATGATTGTTGTAGGTCAAGGCTAGTCCTGAAACATTTCTTCTCTTTACAGTTACCATATTATTTGAGAGAAATTTTTTTACTTTTTGATGCCATTGCTTATCAGCATGTAGACTTCTCTTTACAGCCTATCTAAACTGAAAGTTATTTCTTTTAATTTTTCATCATGTTTTCCTGTGTTTGAGCTAAATATCATTGCTGCACTGTTTGAAATTTGTTCTATTCTTGGTCCTATGAATTAATGAATGTACTGTGTGTGTGTGTGTGTGTGTGTTTTTTTTTTTTTTTTTTTTTTTTTTTTTTTTTTTTCACTTTTGATTGTCCAAAGCTTAAAGCCAACTATGGCCTGTTGTGAATTGTGATAGTGCCAAAATACATGGGGTCATCCTGAGGTTAAATTAGTAATTCCACAAGCCCATATAATTCCCTAGTGAAAAACTAAGGGTGTGTTTGGTTCGCACAAGGGAATCGGAAGTGTTTGGTTCGCACAAGGAAATCGGAATCATACGGGGAATTAAATACTTAGTAATGATAATGAATTTTGGTAAAAGTATTTTGCATGTTTGGTAGTAGGGTGTTTTTGGAATGATTATTTATATTAATATTTGGTTATGTATGACTTTATAATGGGAATACATGTTTTAAAAATAAAAAAATACAAAAATTAAGGTAATTGATTATAATATAAATCCATTCAAAACACTAATATGAGTAAAAAATAAAAATAAAAATCTAAAAGTATTAATCCAAACTTAAAAATTAAATCACTATTAAGATGGAATGATATTCGTTTTTAATTAAGGAATAATGTTTTAAGTTGTCAACTAAACACTAACAATGATTTTAATTTCTATTCATAGTGTGTAAACCAAAATTATGAACCAAACACACTAATATATTCGAATATTCGAAGAACTAAAAGTGAAATTTGTATTCATTGAATGAATGTAATATATAGTAATATAAATGTTTATCCAAAGATGTTTATATTTAGTGATTATAATGCGTTTAAGTAAAAAAAACTCAAATATTGTCCTTTAATATCCATTCTATATATTAAAAAATTTTACAAGTTCAATAGATACCACTCTTATTTGTTCTCTCCAAATTCATCCTTCATGATGTATCATTAATTAATTGATTACTAATTTTATTTTAAAAATTAATTGTGAGTTCAGAAAGGGTAAAAAGCCTTTTCCCATGAAAACACTTGTTACGTGTTTTCGTAAATGACCATCATTCTATCACCAATTATATAAGATTTCCCCTTTCCCCTAATATCATTCCTCCTACCAAAAATGGGAATGATGGGGTATTTTGTTAATATTAAATGATTAAAAAAAAAAAAACTAATAAGCAAACATTTTTTTGGTATACATTAACTAGCTAGGAATTTATATCAGCCGTAAGGGCAGTGTTCTTCCAATATATAAAGCTTAAATTCAAACTTGACCAATTCTTCATCATAATTTTTTTGGGGGTTAACAAGCTATAGCTAGCCGGCTAACATTATTTTTTCTACTATGTCGTTAATTTCATCATGTATAGAGACTTAGAGAGTTACATATATAATATTCATACTGATATGGGAATAATATTCTTAATTTTGATATATTTATTTACTTTTATTAAACAAAATTAACATATTTGGATACGTCATCTAAAATAACTCCAACAAATAGCTAATTTAAACTTTATTGACCTTCTCAATTTGAGCCGATCAAGTATGTGTAACTAAAACTGGTTTTACCATTTATGATTCTTTATTAGCTAAAGTTACAACAAGACGGTGTTTATCTAGTTCACAAATTTGGACAGTGATTATAAATTTTCCTCGTCACAGATAAAAATAAAAAGAAGACATTTATAATGTGGATACTATTAACTACTCAGTTCATATGCAACATAGCTTGCTGGATCGGTATACGCCCATGCTACTAACTCTTAAAATTATCACCTTAATTATTTGATTAATTTATAGTGATGAAATTAACCAATTTATAAAATAACATTTTTTTTTTTTGTTTTCTTTCTATAATATACATACAGTATTTAATTTGATTAAGGCCGGGGGCTAACGATGCCATCAATGTTGACAAAGTTTCAACTTTGGGTATTTCTACTGCTCAAATTAAAGTTTCTCTCACTCAATTCGTCGAACAAGTGGTGTGTGTGAAGTGAGGAGATCATAAAGTAGCAGAGAGATGGGTATGCGTATTGCATCTGTGTTAGCGCATTTGCTATTCATTGCTATAACAACCCTTGTTCTCATATGGCTTCTAAGATTCCGGGAAGGCCTTTCTTTCAACTCAGCCAACAATTTCAAGATTTTCAATGTAAATCTCTGATGCCCCATCCAATTTGTTATTATATTATATATATATATATTTATGAATGTTTTGTGATGATCTATCTTTGCTCATATGCCATCACCATTTGAATAATGCTATGCAGCTTCACCCACTGTTCATGGTCGTTGGCTTTGTATTAATCTCCGGAGAAGGTATCACCCTTTGCTTACCAACCATAATAATACTTCCTCCGTCTCATTTTATGTGTCTAGTTCGCGACTGTAACTAAAGTTATTTTTAATCAAAATTTTCATAATATTAAATTTAGTATTTGTATTATATATTTCAAAACTCCACTAAAATGGAATAGATGGAGTAATAATAAATAATACGGAGTAATAACAACATCTTCAATTCATCGTCGTCATCATAATTTTTTCTCATTTATGAAACAAATTAAATGCGCTAGTTTGAAGTGATTTGTAAGGTTAGGAAAATGTTTTGTATGTTTGAGCATATATATCTAAATCTAAAAACATATTAAGTCTCAATCAAAGTTATATCCCTAATTCATCATTTTGTATATTGTGTTTTTAGAGTTGTACTATATAAATTTTTGGACAAAAATACCCCTACCGTTATAACTTCCGTTATCTTTTCCATTATTGCTATTATGCACATGCATCCACCATATATTTTCTTATATTCTTTAATGATAATAATGTTTGTAGACATTATATCACTGCTGAAAATTATTGAATTTTCGACCACCTGAAAATAATTTTAAATCAAGTCAAAAGCCTTGTTTCGACCACTTTTGGTGTCCGGAAATATCTTTATAGCTATTTCCGACCATAATTTCCACTAGTGTATATTGGATTATTATAATTATAATAAATAAATTTGATTTCATATAGATTTGGGATAAAGTACAAATAAGCCACTGAACTATTTGGGAAAAAGCAATTAAGCCATCAAACTCAAATAACCCCCAAATAAGCCACTGAACCCGTAAAAAAAGAGCAATTAACATTTTGAACAGGTTAACTCTAGGTTTTTGCTGACTGGATTAACAAATGTTTATTTTATTTACCATTTTTTTTATTATATCCACCCACATAGTAATATATTTTAAAGTAATTATAATCAAAGTAGTTTTGTCTTGTCTAGATCTAATTTATTTATTTATTATTATTTTTTAAACAAAAGATCCAGTGAAAAAATAAACATAAAAAAATAAATCAAATCTCGACAAGACAAAACTATTTTGATTATAATTATTTTAAAATATAATACTATCCAAGTGGATAATATTAATAAAAAAAATAAATGCAAATAAAATAAACATTTGGCAATCCAATCAGCAAAAACATGAAGTTAACCTGTAAAAAATGTTAATTGCTCTTTTTTTTTCAGGGTTCAATGGCTTATTTGCTCTTTTTTTTTCCGGGTTCAATGGCTTATTTGATGGTTATTTGAGTTCGATGGCTTAATTGCTGTTTCCCAAATAGTTAAGTGGCTTATTTGTTCTTTATCCCTATAGATTTTAATTAGTAAGTATTATTTGTTAGTTATTTTAAAAAATATAAATATTGGGCATATGTTTTTGCGCATCGCAGCATAGAAAAGACTAGTGTGTGTATGTATATATATATATATATATATATATATATATATAAGAAAAGATATGGTGGATGCATGTGCATGGTAAAAGTAATGAAAAAGATAACGGAAGTTATAACGGTAATGATATTTTTGTCCAAAAAATTGTATAGTACAACTCTAAAAGCACAATGTACAAAATTGTTAGCACTAAAAACATAGACATAAATTAGGGATTTAACTTTGATTAAGACTTAATTATTATGTTTTTAGATTTTTTTTTTTGAAAATCATGTTTTTAGATTAGATATATATGAAGGATCATGTGCGGTAATAGGATTTACGTAAAAAGATATGGTTTAATCTCAACCCTTGATCTAATCAAAATCAATAGCCCAGGTTAATTTAAAAAAAAAAACAGCCCAGCCCATAGTGCTATAGAAACGGGCCAACCCAACTCATACGAACTAGCCCAGCCCATTTTTACATGTGTTGGGATTTTCCCAACATAACCTCTGCTGGACAAGCTGACGGGCTAACCCGTCAGCCCGTTTATCTATTTTAAAGCTTAAGAGTCGAACCCCCAACCTCTAAATTAACAACTAACAACTAACACTATTCCCATGATACACATCTTTTTTTTTTTTTTTTTTTTTTTTTTTAAGGGAGGGGAAAGAGGGACACCCACATATACACAATATTTGCCTACACCGAGGCTCGAACACTTGACCTCCCACATAAGGGACCAAATCAGATACCAGTGGACCACAAGTCACTTGGTCATGATACACATCTTTATTCTTCCCAAAATGACACATCTTTATGACACTTTTTATAATGGTGTTTATTTTTGTGTATGTGCAGCCATATTGGTATATACTACACCCATGAGGCTGGGTTATTTGATGAGTAAGAGACTGAAAGCATTGCACATAAGTCTACACTTGATTGCCCTTGGTGCTGCAATTGTTGGACTGTATGTAGTTTTCAAGTTCCACCATGACACTGGAACTTCAAATCTTGTTTCCTTGCATTCCTGGATTGGTATTTCCACTGTCGCTTTGTTTGCTTTGCAGGTATGAATAATGCTTTCCATCTTTGTATACATGTATGCTTGGAACTTAATGCACATGGACCAAAGATTATATTGAATCTGTAGATCAATTAGCTAGTCTTACCGGCCTATAATAACATCTA